GTGAATTATTTTATCAATTTGTTTTTTTTAAAATGAGATACACCAATTGACCTAATGTATATGTATCCATATTATGAGAATGCGAAATTTAAATTATGATTTGCTCTTATAGAATTAGAAAATAGTTTTTGTTATAAATATTACATGTTCCCACACGATCACCGAAGTTAAACAGCGTCGAGCCATATATGTACCTAGATGGGTAGCACCCTGATAATGTCAGGTGCTATCAGCTTGAATATGCATACGCTGTAATGGATAATGATACTGTATTGTTAATTTAAGTGTCAATTCCTGTTGTGTTCGCTCAATTCAATTCAATTACGCGCAAATATCGTTGGGAAACATACAAATCTTCCTTTTCTCCCCAATATATGGGTTAATTAGTAAAAATTCTATTACAAAATCATTATCTCCAAAACTTATTTAAAAAAATACCAATAAATTTTTGTAGTGAAATGACCAGCATTATATTTTTATAAAATACTTACCAACAATACATTTTTTATAAAAATAATTAACAATAATACATTTTATAACAAAATTAACAATAATAGATTAATATCTAAATTACTTTCCAGTAATGCATTTTATAGATACACTTTCTTTATAGGAATACGTTTACTAATTTACACTATTTATATTCGGATTATTGTTCTCATATTTGTTGTTATCACAAAATGTTGTTCGCTGTGACCACCGGCCTTGCTCAGGTTTATTTCGATGTGAGTAAACTACAAGGGCATCTACCTGTGATTCTGAACAGAAACTTTTATTTAATGTAGGGGCGTAGGCTGTTCTCGTTTCACTGATCATGACCAAGAATATCGTTTAGTTCTTACTTTATTTGATACTTTTCAATGTCCGTTTCCAATGAGTGTCACAAATGTCACAAACAAGTCCGTTTATCCACTAGGCTCATAATGTAAATAATGGTACATCCCAGAAAATCAGACACAATACACTTTTTTATAATAAAATTACCAGCAGTATATCTTATAGTAAAACTGAAGACATAGGACAGATTGTCAAAAAATTGCTATGATTAACCCCATTTATTGAACGATGGTGGAGTAATTGAGGAATCGGAGAGCCGAGTTGGAATTCCAGTCGAATCCATTACATTAACGTACGTGCTAATACCCTTGGGAAAGGTATGAATCCTATTCTTCTTCCCCTAGCGATGGGTAAATAGCAGGGCAGACAGGGTTTTATAGCCTTGGTTGGCAACTAGTCAGCAACAGAAGACAATCCGCCTCTTCAGTCATATATCGAAAGATACACGATCGCCTAAGAGTGTATCACGCATGGCACACGTTTTAACACCTCGTTTGATTTTGTAAGACTATTTCTAAAGAAAAATGTGACTAAGTAATTATAATTTAATGATAAGCTAATGACTTTATCTTGAATGAATTATAAAGTTTGGATTTTCATATTTAGATTTCGGTATTAAATCATCCATACGGTGGTTATCCAACAGAACAAAAACGAGTAACCAATGAATCACAAATTCATATTTACTGAAGAATGAAGATCAACCAACATGTACAACATGCCAAGCTGCATTCTCATTATATATATATATATATATATATATATATATATATATATGCAGCACCTATAAGACATAAATACTACAAAGAAAACAAGATGAGAAAACTGACTGGAAAATACTGAACAAATATAATCTCTTACCTTAAAAAATATGTTTATGCTAAAAACTTTGAAGGTATAAAATTATGTACAGATTATATGTTGTAGAAGCTATGAAATTGCATTAAAATATTTATCAGGTCATCCCATAAGTTCTGTCCGAATTTTTACTTTTTGTTAAAATGAACGAAATTTAAAGAGTATTTTATAATGTCTAATGGAGCTGAACATTATTTTTATGTTTAGATGCATTTAAACTGATCAAATTACATTTTGTTTGATTAAAACCCTGCTAACATGGAAATACCCAAGAATCATTTGAGGCACATAATGCTTTATGAGTTCAAGAAAGGAAACTTAGCAGCCGAAGTGACTAGAAACATTCACTCAGTTTATGGAGAGGAATGTGTGAATGAAAGAACTTGCAGAAGTTGGTTTGCAAAATTCAGAGATGGAGATTTCACCCTTGAAGATTAAGATCGAACCGGTAGTCCAGTTGAGTTTGATGAAAATCTTCTTGAAGCAGCCCTTGAAGAAAATCCTGCTTTATCAATTTGTGACGTCCTCCGGTGTCGCTGCGCCAATCGTGACGTCTGCCTGGCCGCGTCCGCTGTGTTATCCTGGACACGGCACCAATTGTGACAGCGGCCGATCCAGGGTCTTATCCTGGTCACGGCACCAACTGTGACGTTCTAACCTTTTGCTGATTCGGATGGGAATCTGGTTAGATTCGGTATCAGCCTTCTCGTTCCCAGCTCGCCTCCAACGTCTGGTTACCGAAGTAACTGTTTTGATTTCTAGTCTAACCTACCCATGTTGTGATTTGATCTAAGGTAGACGAAATCAATCAGTCGCCGTGCCGTAATGCAAGTCGAGTCCGAACAAGGGTGATATCGCACAAGTATATGTAAAAGAAAATAAAATAATAACTCGAAAATTTCAAATGTATTAAAAAAAGGATAACAATATTTTATATCTGGTTGCTGAATACAGGACTGCGTCTTCTTCCCAACCCGCTATATGGGTCATGACACTTTTGTTTGTCAGGCGAGTTTTAACGTTGTTTGTTCTTTAAGAAACTGGTTTTGGTGTATCTTCAGGCGATATTCGTAAAACTTGTTTTGGTGGTATGAGTCTAAGTCGTTCTTCAAAAATAAATTGTACTTGGTTAGAAGATGAGTTCGGAATTGCGTGGGATCTTTCAGTCAGGTTCCTGGGAGGCGGGCCCAACTCATTTCAACTCAGCTGCGAACTTAACTCAACTTCACTTAACTTCACTTAACTGCTTTTCACTCGATGCGACTCTGCTTATATGGACGCCTACCAAATCCGGGGTGGGCTTGTCGGGGAAAATTTATTATTTCCATAAACAGATGTATTTTCCAAACGACATCTTCGTAGATAGCTAATGGTCAATCTTTTGTTTTTGTAATTCTGCGGTTGGTCCAACAGACATTTTTGTTTTTCGGTCAGCGCATGACCTATTTAATTTTTATCTCTTTAGAATTCTGTTTCGCAGGCGACTTTACCAACCTGTAATTTATCATTATCGTTGTCATGGCAGACTGCTTTCGTTTATTCGGTGATCGTCATAAATCAAATTAAATTCTGTGTTTTACTTTCTCGACAATGGAAATAGAATCTTACCACTTTTCCTTGTCAGAAAAATAACACGCTTAGTGTCCTGTTCGTGATCACTTCTTTTCAACTAAATTTAATTATCGCCTTTTTTTTCCTTCTTTCTTTCTAGCAACCTAAATAGTGCCACAAGTTGAGAAATTGGCACTGGTTCTCAGTTCAAACCATACAAATGTACATCGTCATCTTCAACAACTTGGAAAAGTACCTAAACTTGGAAAATGTGTGCCTCATGAATTGTCTGAAAACAACCTTAAATCCCGAGTTGACATCTGCTTTTCTCTCCATTCTCGCCAACTTGTTTCACCTTTTTTGGATAGACTTGTGATTGGCGACGAAGAATGCATCTTTTATCGAATTGTTAAGCGTCGTAGACTGTGGCTTGGTAAAGGGGAAGGACTCCAGCCACAGCCGAGAACGGAACATCATGGGCAAATGTTTCTTCTTTCAATCTCGTGGGATCGTCAAGGAATGATCCACTTTGAATTCTTACCACCTAATGCAACAATTAATGCTCAAATATGCTGTCAGCAATTAGAGCGTTTGAACCAAGATTTGAGGAAAAAAAAGACCTGCTCTAGTGAATCGAAAAAAGGTGATGTTTCATCAGGACAATGCGCGACCCCACACATCAAGAATCACGTCACAAAAGATCGAAGAACTTGGTTGGGGGAAAATTCCTCATCCACCTTATTCTCCCGATCATGCTCCTTTAGACTACCATTTGTTTCGTAGCTTACAGAATCATTTGGAAGAAACAGCCTTTGTATCACAGGAATAGGTTAAAACTGACATTTGTGAGTTCTTCGAACCAAAGCCAAAAGAATTTTACAGTAATCGAATTAGTAAGCTTGTTAATAGATGGAAGGAAGTCATAGATAATCAGGGAAAATACACTGTTGATTGAATCTGTAATTAAATATAACATTTGGTCACTTGTTTTCTTTATTCAAAATTCGGACAGAACTTATGGGATGACCTGATAGATATCGCCATTGATTACTCCATAGAGGTTGATATGCCGCTAAACAAATACAATCAAAGTGAGGTGAGAAATATTTAAAATAAATAGTAAAATACCAGAACTATATTCAATACATTTCAGAATTCCGTGTAGCTTACCCAAATCAATATACACCTGAGGAAGGTCGGGGGCTAAAACGGACAAAACGTTTTGATAACAAAAGACAAAGATGGCGACAATACTATTGATATAAATAGTGTAAATAATTACTCTTTATACGCCGTGTCGGTTTTTTTAGTTAATCAGAGCACGCTTCTTCTTCCTGTCTCTTGTTGCACATGACCATCATTCTTTAGGCATACATACATAAATATATATATATATATATATATATATATATATATATATATATATATATATATATATATATATATATATATATTAGTTTATGTGTCTGCAAAATCGTACAGTGGATATCAACACGGGAATCCAAATAAGTAGTGTCGAGTTTCTGCTGACTTTGTTCAAGCTTTATAAATACACTTGCCAAAATATCAATCGACTTGTCTGGGTTCTGATGCATCGCCAGATATCTCTAGAGAAATATAGAGTCGTCAGTAGCATGCGCAAGATAAGGAATGAGAAAATGATCGCTTGGGCAACTGCGTAGACAATAATAAATGAAATGCATTTCTCACACTATCTCCAATTCAATATAAAGATAGATTCTAAGATACAGGGCCTACGGCCATATCACATTAAAACACCAGTTTCCGTACGATCACCGAAGTTAAGCAACCTCAAGCCTGGTCAGTAACTAGAGAAGTGACCGCTTCGGAATACCAAGCGTTGTAAGCGTGGATGTTTGAGTCTTGTAATGGATAATAAGTCGGAGTTATTAACCGGACAGTCGAGTTCGAATTCCAGTTTGGTTCTGTATATTTATTTGGGAAATGTATGAATCCACCTCTTCAGCCGACAGCTAAGGTTAAATTAGTAGGAATTGCATCGCTAAATCATTATTATCTCAAAAAAGTCATACAATCTGATTTTAAATAACCTGCAAAATTTTCATACACCGTAGACATAGAAACAACCAAAGCAAGGCACGCATTTATGAGATATATACATATATAAAAGCAGCGAGATAAAGGTACTTCTATGTACCGCATCCTTTCAAAGTATAGGCGATCATGGCTCTCCACTACTTTCTATTCCTTGGGGCTCTTAAGTTTTTCTCAAATATCCGTGATTCCATCGTTCTGCAGTCATTTCACACAAGGACGTTGCTGTTTTTTTCTATATCGCCCTTGCTCTAAATACATGGTTCAGTTTTACAAGTCCTGTTTCCCCAGCGTGTGGAGAAGTAATCTCAGCTGTCGTTTCATGATTCACAGAATAATAATTCTTTCCGATGTAAACTTCACTGTCGTTTAGTCGCTCGGTCCATCGAAATAGATATTCGATCATTGCGAAGGGCCGATGTTCATGATCAATATAAAATGGCGGAAACTTGACATTGGCGTTTGTTTTGGTACCGATTTCTGGTGCGTTCTTGATTGAAACCTTGCATCGTACAGTTTCGATTCAGGCTTTGTTGAATGTTTACATTTTGTCCACTTATGAAAACCTTGAAGATAGAGTATGCAAAGATTCACTTTCGCCATATTATCCTCTACAAATTTCAGAAACGAGTATGCGACAGAATGGCTACAGAAGACATTAACGAAGGTTATTTGCTTCGTGCTCCAGCACTTCGGGCGATCAAAAAGTAATTTGTCATATATCGTCAGGTTGATTATTAACCTAAACAATAAACCACGCCCCAGACGATCTTCCGACATCGATGAAGTGATAGTGGGAAGATGTCGACGGAAGAGATTACTAAGATTTTGGAAATCGATATATCGGTAGCCTTTCGCCATCTGAAGTCTCTTGCGTTCAAGGAAAACGGCAGGTTTTGGTAATTCGAAAAGGCACCACTTTCGGCCACGACAACGCAAGACTGCATGTTACAAAATAGACTTGGCAGAATTTTAGATTTGAAATAAGAAATCCTTCCGATTGTAGAATTATGGGAGACAGTTATTAAAAGTTAAAACTAATGGTGACTATTCTTTTTACCAATAAGTTTTTTTTCTGAGTATGTATAATGTTGTTTTTAAATTTCTAATCGAGCACGAACTGCAACGATCTAATACACACACACACACACACACACACATATATATATATATATATATATATATATATATATATATATATATATATATAGAGAGAGAGAGAGAGAGAGAGAGAGATAGACAAACTTGAACGAACTAAGATAGATAGATAATCATGAACGAGCTGAAATAGAGAAATAAGTATGAACGAAATAAGATAGATAGATAGATAGATAGATAGATAGATAGATAGATAGATAGATAGATAGATAATCATGAACGAACTGAAATAGGTAAACATGAACGACCTGAAATAGACAGACAGACGATAGATAGATAGATAGATAGATAGATAGATAGATAGATAGATAGGAACAGTGTTGACATAAAAATCATCATTGTATGGTGACCATTTGATCTTCTAATAATAAGGGATGACACTGACAGTTTCCATGCTGTATTCATTAAATATACACTTATTTCGTCACTGGTTCTTAAAAAATAATAAAGTTATTAGAAACATTACTAAAAAGCGAGAAGAAAGAGCAATCAGAAGGACAATAGATCACGATTGACATTGCATTTAAATTTCCGAGGATTAAATTTGGTTGGAGATATGAAGCCGGAAGTGAATTCCACAAGTGAGAAGTGGTATAGATGGAATTGTTAGCATAGAACTTACGGTTACGCCTAGCCAACTCAAGTGTAAATTGATGCGATCTCGACGCCACTCTAGTACTAAGCTTAAGAAGTCTAGTTACCATAGCGAACAATTAACATAAAAGTATTTATGAGAAATGCACAGGAAGGAGTCAACCTTACGGTGTTGCGAAAGTGACTGAAGCGAAGACGACAGATCAGGACCAGTAATAGCTCTTCTTTTGGGTTTTATAAAAGAGTTTTAGATAAATAGCAGGAGCACTAGACAATATCATATGTAAAAAAAAAAAATGTGCAATGGTGAAAATTATATAAATCAGCGAAACATATACAAATTTCAAAAAGGACTATACGTACCACTCCTCAATTGGAACTCAACTTGCGTAAGACGATAAACTACATCAGCGTCTTGGTTAAGGCGATAAACTACGTCCAATAACAAGACCACTGATCAGGAGGTTTTGGAGAGCGTGGAACCGCCTCTTGATTGCTTGTGTTCCGGGTTCATTCTGACTTATTGTAGTAGTGGACGCCTGATGGGGTCCCAAATATGGGCAGGTGTTTATCACCAAAACAAACGCTGAAGGACTATAAGAGTGTAAAAATAGGTTTTAATACCAGCAATGAATTTTTGAGTAAAAAATATTACCAGTAATACATTTTTGAAGAAAAAAATGTTACCAGCAATACAATTTTGGAAATAATTATTACTAACAATATATTATTACCAGCAATATACTAACCCCCAAATTTGGGTAAAAACACTATGAAAGTGTAAAAACACGTTTTAATACCAGCAATACGTTTTTGTAAAAAATATTACCAGAAATACATTTTTAAGAAAAATATATTAAGAGCAATACATTTTTTGAAAAAAATTATTACCAGCAATAAAAATCTTGTCGGCATTAAATAATCCATTGTGATTGATTTACCGTAAAACAAAGCAAACCAAACCTCAACTGGAACTTATGTATGCAATCGATCGCTGAAAACGCTGGAAAAATAGTCTGTATGGTGAAGCAATCCGATAAGTAGCTGAATGACCCTGCTGTTTTATTTTTACAAGAGTCTCTTCAGAAAACAAATGGAATGGCGCTGACATAACTCAGCTAGTGTTGCAAGATCCACACTTCACTGTCTTGACAATTCAAAAGCGTCTAAAAAAAACCTTGTGGGTGATTAATCATTATTTTCAATTCTAAGATCCCTATCCGACAGATGAAACTGTCCTAGTATCTCGCTATTCTATCGCTATTTCCGTGGCAAATATTCTGTCGAGCTACAATCATTATTTCCTTCAGATCTTATTTTCACAGATCAGATCGGCCACGTTATGAATACTGGAACGAATCCCGATTATACCATTCGAATCTCATTGTTCCACGTAGAAATTTACTTCCCAGAAAAGAAGCTACCTTGTGGAAAAGGCTCCTAGGAAGAACGGTTTCCTAAACACTAGAATCTAAACTTCTTCAAGTTTAGTGTTAACCGATATCTTTTCATAATTTCATAAATCTGCGCTTCTTAACTACATATAGAAAATATCATTTATTAACACTGTACCAGGTCAGGGACAATAACATTGGAGATTCTTCTTTTGATTTTATCAAGAATCTCTCTCTATATATATATAGCAGGAGCACCATACGAGATGTTACAGAAATATTCAAAGCCAGGACGAATGCTATAAGTATACATTTGTAACTTCGATTCTGGCGGGAAAAAACAAACTTTAGCACGACACAGGAAACCATATTTCTTAACGGCTGATCTAGCAACCCCAGTCAGCGGAAAACATTAGACCCAGAAGACGTAATGTTTGGACGCAATGTGGAGCTTAATATCACTGGTTTTGATATGGTGGCGTTAAAATCATCAAGCCATTCCTTGCTAGAGTTAAAAACAGAATATAAATCCTATTTTTTTTCGAAAAGTGTCCAATTTGACCTTACCGAAACGCTTAGATTTACTATTAAGATAAGAATAAATGGTTGCACCATCAGTATAGATAATAAAATGAGTCCTGATAGCAGTTAGGAGCAATGTAGATTAGATGGCTGGGGAACACCTGCGTTAATACGAAATAATTAGGAGATGTTCCGTTCAAGTAACATTTCAGTGAATCAGTTCAAAAATTCATCAAGAAATAGCAGAAGTCCAGAACAGTTCGAAAGCCTCCGACATATCCAATGCAACAGCCCGAGCTTTTTCATTCTTATCTAAAGCTTGATAGACACTTTCAAAAATAATAGTAAACATATTAGCAGTTGATCTACAGAAGCTAAAACCAAATTACATATCTAAAGGATGATAGTGAACATTAGTAGAATATATATATATATATATATATATATATATATATATATATATATATATATATAATGGACTCTCCCGTTTTTCGACGTATGAGGATCTAGTTGATTCAGTTATGAAATTTTGTTCGATAATATTAAGTGGCATTTAAGACCCGCTTGTGATTTACAAAGGAGGCCACATATGGAGGAAGTGTGAGGATTGTGAGATGAGATCACTGTTAGATTGGCTGACCTTTTAGATCTCGCTCTCGATTCTTATTCAGACAAGGAGATTGAAAACTGCTGAGTCCACTAAAACACGTTGATCTCCATTTTTACCTGCTCCAGTGCTAAGTAACCCGACGGATTTGGTGTCAGTAGGAGTTTCTACCCACTAAGCCATCCATCAGCACTCGACAAAGAGAATCTGCTAATTCTAGCGTAATACATTTTCCGGAAGAGCTTTGCATTTTAGCGTAGGCAGGTGATGTTTGTAGAATTAGGCTGTCTCTCAAGAGTGCGATAGATAGATAGATAGATAGATAGATAGATAGATAGATAGATAGATAGATAGATATACACTAAATGAACTGAGCGTTGAATACGTTATAATTATCAACTCGTTATGACGTTTGACAACGTTAAAAGTTAAAACGTTAGTGCAAAACAACGATCTGATGAACGCTTGGGAACACCGAACTTACTCAGATATTGGAAATAATAAAAATAACTCGAAA